CGTGCTGCGTACACTCCAGAAATGCTGTGAAGGTGTTACTTTGCCTGTAGTGGGAAAAGTACATGGCGACTTCAGAGGGAAATTATAATGGTTTTCAGTCAATTTTATTTTCATTTTTTTTAAAATATTTATAAACATCTTTTTTGAGTACTGGTATTTTTTTGTTGTTTCTTTTGAAGGGAATATGGTGGGGTTAAACCCGTTCAGTTAGTTACGTTTTTCTTCCCTTAAAAACTTTTTTGTTTTGCACATTGAATTTCCCTGTCGGTAGCACAGTACTTCGATCATTTATGTTATATCTTCTGTTGCTGGCATGGATAAGAGCATTGCATTTGTTGCTGTCATTGTTCAACTGTATATTGATTTGTGGGTGAAGGGTTTGTCCAATAGGGTAATAGTCTTGTAGAGCATTTGACATGTTATTAGGTATATCATGTTTGCTGGTCTTATAGGATCTGTACTCCGGGTGTGATCCTGATCCTGGTACCCTGTAAGTAGTGACAATGTGTACGCGGTTGGAATTGTTCCATTTTGTACTGGGCTGTCTAGGAAACTTCACACATTTGTCCATTTTAGATTGAGTGGTTTTCAATGTGCAAGAAAAGTGGATCCTGGAAACATTTCCTCCTTGTGCAGGAGGGGCTGGAGTTATTTTGTAGTTCTTCATGGGACTGCCAAGTGTGGTTTAACGGTGACAACTAGTGGGGTGTAATTTAATTTTCAGTATGATTACATTATGGGTTGGTTTTTAATTATTATACAATTTACACAGAGCTATACATAGTGCATAGTCACATCAGTCCCTGCCCTCAAAGGGCTTACAATCTAAGGTCCCTATATCACATGCATACATACTGGCTGATTTAGAAAAAAAAGCCAATTAACCTACCAGAATTTCAGGGAGAACATGCAAACTCCATGCTGATAATGTCCAGACTGGGATTCAAACCGGTGACACCCAGTTCAATGTATGTGTGTGTATGTATATACATATATCTATATAGATCTATATATAACTTCTAGGTACTCCTAGTGGATATTTCTGTCTGTGATATCAGTTTGACCTCTTTATGTAGCCTCATGATGTTCATTATGGCATTCCCTATGTCTGCAGGTTTTATTCTGAAACAGTTGTTCTCTCTCATAGGTTTGATAGTTATTTTTTTTTTCTGCAATTAGTTCTTTTTCTGCCGGATTTTGTCTGTCACCCTTTTTATATATACATAGAGAGATATCGTTTGCGTTCGTTTTTTCCTTGGGACTTTTTTTGCCTATATTGCTTTTTTGTATGTGTGTAGATATTTCTTATGCCTCATTTGTTTGAAGGCTCATATATGTGACTCATTTATATATGTTTCAATTTATTAGATATGTATGATTATTAGCTCGGCACAATATTGTTTTTTCACATTTTACAGATATTTAGTTATATCCTTAGTGCTTGGTAGCTCATATTTCCACATTACACTTACTGGCGCTGATCACCTTTATTGTTTAGTTTCTGTATGTTGGGAATTGATGAGGTTCTGCCATATGAGGCAGCAACATTGTTTTATACCAGACAGGGATTTAAAAGCTAAACTGTGAGGTCACATTATATTGCTATTTTTTGATTACCATGGGAGACGGTACTGTTCTGTACTTTAGCGTATGTGAGAAGAGCATGCTTTTTTTTGTCAGTACTACATTGCACAGGCTGTGGACTAGGGCTGCAACAACTAATCGATTATTGAAAAAGTTGTCAACTAACACTTTGACATTGTAAAGTAACAGCTCAGCTAATACACAATAAATTAATATTTAACCACAACATCTATGCACAATACATTAGAATTGCTATCTGTGAGTTTCATTTAGCTACAGAGAGCCAGTCCCCAGTTGAGCTTTCTGAACCTGTGTTCATATTGCAGATATAGTGACAGCCAGGCCGTATTGTTCACCCAGTCTTTCAATCAAGAGGACACCTTATATACTTGAGTTATCAAACAAATAGGGTTATAGTATGTCCAGAACATCCATCGAAAGGACCCCATATTTTCACACTGGAGTGGATAACTGCATTTGTGATCTGTGACCACATTGTTTCCCCACTCCAGCTTGCAATTGAACACTTTTCCAGATCAGCGATTGTGCATATACAGTATATGCAATCGCACATTGTGTATGACAGCACGGCTGTTGCACACTCACTGTTAAGGTGTTATTACATCAAATACATGATAGTACTGTGTTTGGAGCCTATGGGTATGGTTCTGTTGCAGTTGATGATCTGATTGGTCTTATACTTGCCATCGTTTGAGAATAGAACATATACATAAGTCCTGGTCCTTTAGGGCCAAGTTTGTTTATGTATATGTGAAATTATAAAGTTTTTTTTGTGTTATATTTGGTTCGCTTTGACATTACTACGCAATATATATTCCATCATTTTGTTTTATTGAGACACGCATAGATGTAGCTGCAATTTTTTTTTTTTTATTAAAGCATTATCAATCATATTAAATTATATTATGGTACATCATTCTTTTTAGGTGTAAACTGGACATGTTGAAAAATATATGCACCACGTTTGCATGACTAAATCCAAGATACCTCAACAACAGAGTCTGTTGTTTCCTACTATACTAATCAAATACTCCATAATAAAAAACACAGATTAGAATTGCAGCAGTTAGAGATGCACTCGGCAAAACATTCACTTCAGATATGTTTTTCTTCATCAATTACCTTATATGACCACATTAGGTCAATGCCATTGACCCAATATGGCCATATAAGGTGAATGATGACACAAACATACCACTCTTTTATTCATGTGCGGCGGTGGGGAATCCCTCCCCCTCCCACAGCTAATTGGGCCGGCACTGAAAGCTTCCTTCTGGGATCAGATGATCTTGGCTTTGGTGCAAGCTCATCGCTACTTGTGACACAAGGACAGGAAATTGGGGGGTGGGGAGAGCAGTTATCAGGCAAAAAGGCATGGACTGCAAAAAAGAATTGCCAAAAAACTTGTTTTTTGCTTTAGGTCTATGGCCATCAGCATCTAAAAAGTAACATTATCAAAGCCAAAATGTATGGTCTTTACTTTTATTGAAAATATGTTTTACTTAGTACATGACAAATCACATCATTTTTATGGATCATTAGAAACTCGGAAAACAAAACACATGATTGTTCCCATTGTTTAGTAATAGTTGTGGTAATCTATATTCAACCTGTAGGCTTAAAAACAGTCAATGAACACAGTCAAGGTCAGTTGTTTTGTAGCGTTACCACTACACTTAATGCTACCCTCTACTGTGGAACATTAGTTACTATTACCGTTATTGCACCTCTTTAGAGACTTAAATTCAGGATTTTGTGGCTGCCAAAATATTTCAAACAATGAAAATACAATTTACAAAGTCATCCTTAGTAGAATAAAAAAAAAAAAATCCCAAGTCCTGAGAATGTTATAAAAGTCACCTATGAGCATTCATATGCCTTCAAACTCTGTCCTCCTATTGTAGCTATATACAGTATATGTTATTGCTAAAGTCATGACACTGTAATGAGATTTTTACAAGGTCCTTCCAATGCCTGGCTTATAAAAATAAATACATCAAGGGGCTATTTTTAGCTTTTTCGCAAGAATTTATGCAGGCAAATTAACTTATTAGGTATGTGTGGATGGTGCTGTGCTACATTCCCTCTCCCATTCCTGCATATTGGGTCGCCCCTAAGAATGTAAAGCTGCTTTTCAGGGGGAACACAAGGGTAGAACCCAGCCTTCTGACTGCAAGAAGAAGCAGCTTTTCTGTGCTTGTAATGTTTGTGGACTTCTGCTGACATGTCAGACAAGAGATGTATGAGGTACATCCACTGTAGGGTAAAAAATGACTAATGACCATAGCATATTGGGAACAACAAAAGCAGTTGTAGGAGAATCACATATAAACTAATGTGGTCCTCATGCTCCATCCCACAAACTCACCCTCTGCACAGAGATCAGTAAGCCTTAAAGTGACACTAAACTCAGGAGTTAAAATCTTAAAAATACATTCAAGTGCCCTAAACTATTAACAGAAATGTATCTTATCTGTGTATCACTCGGCTGTAGATCCTCAAATCATCTCTGAATTGGTGCTGACACTGTCCTTCCTTCTGGAGGGTGGCTACTTTTCTTCCCCATGGTCCTCATGTGTGTTGTAAAGTAGTCACCACTCCAAGCTTGCTCCCGTGATAGACTACAATCTCAATACAAATTAGTAATCTAAACATGAGGATGTAGTCCAGCACGGGAGCAAGGGCTACCTTAGAACAGACAGGGACCATGGTGAAGAAAAGTAGCCACCCTCCAGAAAGAAGGACAGTGTCAGCACCAATTCAGAGATGATTTGAGGATGTACAGCCAAGTGATACACAAAGAAGTAACAGTTTTTGTTAATAGTTGGGGTACCTGAATGTATTTTTAAGATTTAACTCCAGAGTTTAGTGTCACTTTAAAAGTCAATTGTTGCCCACACAGTTCCATTACTACCTTCTCTGAACAATCTACTGCTGTGTGGGGACATTTTAAGTAGACAAAAAGGTGGAGATCTAAAAGAAATCCCTATGATGTATATTTTTTTTACAATAGTCAGTAACCATTGAATCCAGGGCAGGATCCAAGCTTTTAGCTATAACATATCAAGAAGTAGGATGGCAAATGTTGAATTTGGATAGCAATAACAGTATTTAAGTAAGGACTATACATGTTAAATTAAAAAGCAAATTGAGCAATAGAAAGTTGAAGTTGTGCTTTTAGTATTTGGTCATTTATATATATAGTCACTATTGAATCTAGTTTGGCAAAAAAAATTATATCTTTAGCTACGTTCTATAAATTTCACAATATGAAAGTATATCCTGTAAAGCTGCTTCACCTTAACATAGTTAAGTGCTTCAAAGATCATCAAATGCTAAAAAGAAAGCATATTCTTACATAGGTATATAAATCTTTACCTAACAGTATCATCTACTTTTTAAATGACCTTTAAACTGTCCTAAAATATAATTTATCTTCATTTAAGTATATATAACTTTATGATAATTAAATCATAACTTTTAGATTTTATACACATACCAATAAAATATTTCCCAAGTGTGCGGATTTTTAAAGAAATTTAAAAACAAAACAAAAAGTTAACAAAAAAACAGAAAACAGCAGCGGTACACGTATGTATGAATATATGTACTGTATATATCATATTTTACATATTTATCTGTTTTCCTATTTTAGGCAACATAGCATTCAATAGATGAATGATCATGTTAATTATATTTAAGGCATCAGTGCTTCAAGGGCAAATGAGAAGAAAAAAAAAAAATACAAACTGCGTAAAGCATCATCATCTTAGTGGCACATCTGTAAAGCATTGCACAATTCACCCGTCGGCCACCTTTCTCAATACATACATTAAAGTTTAATCCACTTTCAGTGCTAGTGCAAGACAAAGCATTGTAGAACCACTCAATGTTCACAGGGGTTTAACAATACAAAAGGGAAACTCAAAGAAAAAATTTGACATCGTTTCTCTGAAGGTCGTTTATCGTGTTGAAACGATCTGGTAATATTCTCATTTTGACAGTGCCATCAGCTCCACAGGAAAATATGTAGTTGGCTGGTCCAGTCTCTATCTGCATCACTCCCGTTCCAATGTTCCTGAAGAGGGACTGTCTTGCATGTTCATTGAGGAAGGTGTGCAACAAAGTGAAATTTATTAGACTCCAGACCTAGAAGGAAAAACAAAATATCAGTGAGAAACCATTTCAGGCCAAAATACGATATGAAAAGGAGGGATAATTCCCCATGTCGCTGTAAAATATTTGGTCTGGCCAAAAAGCTAAAGGTGATGTAATCAGTCATACACTGTAAAGTTACTATCACAAGTCAGTGATGTCACTGCTGCTGGCTAAGCCCACAGGGAGGCAGGGTGCGGCTGCAGAAATCACAGGAGTGCACAGATTTGATAGTCCAAACCATTCTTTCTCAACCAGGGTGCTGTAGCCTGGGTTTCTAAAAATTTTGTGGTAATGGGACTATAATGTGAAGGGTGGAATGAAGACTGATGTGAATGGGGGAAACCCACTTTTTTTTTACTGTATCATGAAAGTTAACAAAAAACAGACTTTGTCAGGCTGGATGTAGACTGTTAGTGAACTGCCATTACCAAGTCTTTTCAGCTTTTCAAATGACTGAAGGTAAGGTTCTCAGTTTTAAACCGCTCCAGTATAGCCTTAGCTGTGTGTTATGATCATTATCCTGCTGGAAGGTGATGCTCTGCAAAGTCGCAGGTGTTTTGTACTGTAATAAATGAAATATGGCAATTTGCATTGTCCATTCCATCAAATTTCTACTAAAAATGCAATTTGCTTGCTGCTGTCACACTGACTTAATTGTTTCTAGACTCTGTTTAGTGACCTGGACCAGGTGAGCAGATCAGGTTTTCTGACTTCAGTCCAATTTCAGTTTTTGCATGCTTATCAGTCTGTGTCTTCAAGTATTGAAACCAGAGATGGCTGGACAATCAGCATTTTTAGAAGGTGGTCAGCAATGTCAGCATACATATTTTTCTCAGCAGAAGTCATGTTCTAAAACTGCCTTGTTGTTACAGGGCTTGCTGCAGCCATCATATGGGACATGGCCATTAGCTAGTTTTTAGTATTCAGGGATGTTGGACAGATTGGAAGAAGCAGGGGAGAAGTCTAACTCTATTTCTGCAGTGTACAGGTCCTGGAACTGTGTACTATGGATCCTTTAACCGTTAATTGATCCATAGTACACAGTACACGCTTCCAGTACAATGCAGAAAGAGTTACAATTCTCCCCAGCTAACCTGAATAGGTTACATTTTAACGTATTCAAGTTAGCAGGGGAGAATTGTAACTATTTCTGCAGTGTAGTGGAAGTGTGTACTATGGATCATTTAACCTATTCAAGGGGCAGGGGAGAATAATAACTCTTTAAATGACCAGGTTGCAGGAGTAACAATTCTCCCCTGCTTCTTCCAATCTGTCCCACTTGCCCCAATTAAACTTGAAGCTATACAAAGTATTGCTGATATGAAGCAATGACTGAGAAATTCGATTGGATATGGGAAATATTATGAACACGCTCCGCAAGAAACTGCCCTAAAATCATAGTCTGTATTGTTTTCGAAAAAATGTCACATGTCCCTTTAAGAAAAGGTATTGGTAATTGGTATCAGCGAGTACCTGAGGGAAAGTACTTGTACTTGGTAATAAAAAAGTGGTATTGGGACATCCATAAAAATGACGCACCTAAAATTTAGGCCCTGCTGCATTGTTGTGCAGCAAAGCACAATGCAGAGCACACCAGGCATAGTGGTGCACTGTGATGAGGTTTCCATCCCTGCATTGATGTGGCTTACTAAGGGAACTGGTTGCACTAGGGATTATTTAGCGGATTTAGTAAATGCTTTATGCATTCAAATCCTCTTTTTTTATTTGTAAAGAATTATTACAATTATGTTGACTGATTACACTTTACAATTACCCCCTATTTTGTGCAAATCAGTGACAAACCCTCTTTTAAATCCATTTTAATTAAATGCTGTAACACCACAAAATGTGGAAGGCACTGTCACAAGGTTAAAACAAATGCAGTGACTGATGTGTTGTCATTACTGCACACTTGGCATCTTATCCCCACTAACAAACTAAATGCTTTGAAGCCACGAGACCCTCTACAGTCACTTCTTGCAAGTCTCATGCATGCTTATGTTAACTATCCAGTTTTCAGGAGGCAGATGTATAAATCTGTGGTTAAAATAGAAAAATCCATTTAAACCCTACATATATGAATGGTAGTTTTGCAGTTATCAGGGATTTAAAAAATAAAAATAAAATCCCATATCTGATTAAGCTTCCACCTCCAAATGGGAAACATAGAACAAAATATTTAACTAAACACTCATATTCCTAAAGCATTGCATCAAACTGCACTCCACCCCAAGTTTTTGTCGCTTTGCAAAGAATAAGTATAAGCTTTGTTACCACAGAAATATATTTTGGACATGATGGGGATTACATATGAAAGGTTTGCCAAACACAAACATTTCTTGTTGTCCATAGCAACCAATCAGCTTCAAAATATCATTGTTGCTGTGCAAAAGTGAAAATAAAACTAAGATCTGGATTGTTTTTTATGGACAGGGAGGATTTTATTTTGTTATGGGCAAAACATATCTTGCTGCTTTTCGCCCCAACAGAAAAATGTGAGTGAAGCCTTGTACTACTATAGGGCCAAGAAAGATTTTGTAGATATTGAACACTTGAAAACAGGCACTTACCTTGATGTTTCCCTCTGCAGATCCTGTAATGAAATATTCCTCTGTTGTGTCTACAGCAATGGCCTTCACAGCAGAATCATGGCTCTGGAAAACATGCCGCTGTTGTCTCTGACGCAAGTCAAACAAACACGTGAATCCTTTCCTACCTCCAGATATTAGGAGCTGATTTTTTGGAGCATAAGCAATCACAGTTGCTCCACTGTCGTGGCAAGTAAAGGCTGAAAACCAAGTGGAAAAGATAGTAAACGTTTATTTACATTGAGCAGTACCAGTACAAATGGCGATAATCTCCAACAATACTTCTACTGTTGCAGGATGTAAACATGGTAAATACAATCTTGTACAATTTTCTGTGTGTTATCTATGTAAAAGTTCTATTTTTTTTATTACAGCTATTTCTATAGCACCAACAATTTACAAAGCACTTCACATACTGCACGTTCACATCAGTTCTATATTTGATATATTCTATAGTGTTGCCAATTTGAATCACATGCTGGCTTCTTATATCTGTCAAGAACTCCAGTGACATAAATCCCTACAAGAATTCTCCGCTCTGCCCAACTGCCAGGGTCATCACAAAGCCCATTGATGTTGTCACACTCTTCTGTACATATATGAGGAGTCCGGCTACAAAGATGTGACATTCTCAGTAAGGCTTTGCAGGTATATGGGGAGTGAAGCTACATCTTCAGTAAGGCTCTGTAGGAGGGAGTGGAGGCACATAATGCTGCACTGCAGCATCCAGCTAAATCCTCAGCATCAAACAAAGAATGTAACATTAGAGGTAATTTTATTATGTAATGTATATTCACAGAGCCCAGTTGTGACTGGTTCTCTAAGTGTTATTTTCTGTAACTTCACACAACCCAGATTGGATGGATGCTTCAGCCCTGAGAGCTTCTGTGTGAGCGTTTTCCGGCTGCTTATCACAGCCACTACTCACGGTGAGTGCACCTTTTGAGGGGATATAGGTGGTATTAACCCTTATCCCCAACACAGTTCACGGAATTTCTTTTGAACATTTGTCTTTTCTGGAATATTTTTGGAACAGTTTTCTTTGATTTTGACACATCACATCAACTTACAATTTATGGTGGTTGTCACTAATTATTTCACATACCCTGTGGGATCAATGATCCAGGGCCATTGATGACTTTTTCTTATAAAAAAAGATTTTGAAGGCACTGAACATTCATGTGTATGTTATATGAATATAATTTATTTATCTGAATCACTTATATATATTATATTTATTTATTAGAATTATTTTATATTTATATTTAATTAAATTTAGGATTTATGACATTCAACACATTATATGTTGGGGGCGCTGCATAATTTGAAAGTTATCTGTTTTGACCCAACGGTCGATTTTGCTGCAGCCTTCAAACTAAATTGGCACACTAGCACTTATACATTTTTCTAGGTCCAGCGCAGAATCACTTATATCTATACACAACCCAGATTACATGCATGGCAGGCTGCCCAACTGGCACTGAGCTAAAACATAATGCATATTTGTGTGTTTAAGTCAGGTCTAGGGATGAATCCTAGGGAAAAAAATACAACATGTAGCCGTGCAGAATTCAGTTTATATGATGCATTTACCGATGTCATAGACATTATATTACCCAGAAAAGACGAGGAATAAAATCGTGTTATGCTAAAACATTTGTTGGCTCTATGCTGAAATGTGGAAAGCTACATAAACAAAGTTTTCTTCCTGAAATCAGATGCCCCAAAAATGTGCATTCATTGATGTTACCAGAAAAGGTAAAAAAAACTTACCATGAACTAAATTATTTGCAGGTGCTACCAGAGTATCCCACATACAGACATTTCTAGAAGGGTGAAGCAAAGAAAAATACATTTAAGATTGTAAAGCAGAAAAACACAAAACCCTGACGAATTGCTGTGAGGATGGTTCCTGGAGCTATGCAGACTGCAACTTATGAGCAACCCAGAAAATGAAAATGAAACGCATAAGATAAAACTCTCCATAAGTCTAAGTTTCTGGAAGCAAATCATAAAACCCTTATGTTTTTCTTGTTCATGTTCTGTGCTTCGTTCACTGTATCTGCTAGACCAGGGGCGCCCACAATTTTTCATCTGGAGATCTACTTTTCAAATGACGAGCTCATTGAGATCTACCAACGAAAAAACAGCTGCATTCAGGGGCGGGAGGGGCGTGGCGATGCATTGAAGACAATGGCACCGCAGGCAGGCCCCTCACACTTCAATAAATTTACCCAATTTACTGTATGTGCACAAAAACCATGTAATGGAACTCTTGTAATAATAAAGTAATATCAATCAGCAATTACCCCACATACTGAGGAAACATCTCAATAATGAGCAGAATACAAGCTGAAATATAAAACATCGCCTCCTTTACTCAGTATACTGCTGTTTTTTTAAACACCTTTTGGGTATGGGTTGTGGGACTGCATGGTTCCAAAGTATCAGGATAGGCCAGTGACAGATTTCACTGTTGAGATATTCAAATAGTGATTCGGCAATAATCCTTTCATTTGAATGTCCTATCTTGTCACATATTTGGACATGTGAAGATCAACAGAGCAAACCATTGGCTGGGCCACTATGCATTCCGTTTTGCAAATGATCACAATATAAAATAGGCACTTTAGTTAAGCTGGGTGCAGGGAGTCGAGGATTATCCTCTCTTTCTACACTGGTATATCATTGCACCTTGATATAGATCAGCAGTACTGGAATTCATAAAAAGAAAGCGTTGTTGCAGCAGAGGTTTTCTGAAGGAGAGGATTCTTACAGACATATATGTTTGTCCTGTAATTAAGCGGACAATGCAACATTTTACATATTACTTACCTGCCATCACTGGACTGTCCAGCTGTTGCTATCAGGGAAGAGGAACTAATGAACACAAAGTCATTGGTGGTTTTGTTATGGCACTGCCAGGTCTGTAAAGCAGAGGAAAAAGCAAATAATGAATCAAGCATTAGGACTTACATGCAGTAAACGGCAACAGAATAAAAAATAAAAAAACTTACCAGATAAGGCTTAGCGGGGCTTCCAGTAGCAGCACTATACTTCCAGTTGGTCTGATACAGACTGATAAACCCATCAGCATCAACAACTCCAAACTACACAACACAAGGATGAAGATGATGAGAACCAAATCAGTGGTTTTATCACATTTTCCAACAAACGTTTAAGGCTGTGTACATAGTGTATGAAGAATAAAGAGTATTTTTTCCAGCAAAGAGAAGCACTTAAGTGACATTAGGGCCTGTTCACATGACGTCCGTTTTGTGTGCTGACCGGCTCCGTACGCTGCATCCCAATGTATCCCTATGTGTTTTATGGGCTCCAGTTCTCACGTGCGCTGTCCGTTCAGCTTACACCAGAAAAAATACTGCATGTCACATTTTGTCCGGTCAGGAAACGCAAACGCGTCCAAAACGCACTGCAGCTAACATACTAACAGCCCCACTCCAGATCCGCACCTGATCAGGACCTGATATCATGGGAACAGGCCTTTAGTGAAAAATTTTTTTCCCTCCCCCCCCATGTTAATGTTAGCACTTACCTTAAATGATGTCTCTTAATCCAATCTTCCTCTTCTTTCATGATGTTTTCATCCGTCCCTCCAGCGGTGCAGCGGGTCTCCGATCCAGCGATGGCTCCTCTCTGCTTGCAGGCACTCCCGATCCAGCGGTGTCTGCATGCGTCCATAGACTTACCTTGCGTCTCTGCTCGTCTCTCGCTCGAAAATCCGAACTGCACATGTGCCCGCCCCAAGATGCTTTGCGGCCGCCCGAGAGGTTTCGGATTCTCGAGCGGGAGCGCGCAACGAAAACAGGGTAAGTGTAAACCGCTGTTAAAGCGGGTTTTTTTTTTTTTAAAGATGTGACATACAATAGGATGTGACTACTTTAAACAGTAAGGCACTCCTGTACCAGTAGGCTGGGCTACCAAAAATGCTTTTAAATCTCTCTGAAGGGCAGCCCTATTTGTACCCTCACAATAATGGACAAGTCTAGGAGAGATGATAATCGGTCAAAGTTGGTGACATGTTGTGATTACAAACAAAAGTGATTTAAGAGCTGCACACATGCTTAGGTGTGACCCCTGACTGCATCACTCAATCTGCCAAAACAATAGCCAAGTGGATCATTCACAGGCTTATTGGTTGCTATGCAAATGCAAGCAGAATATCATCAGAAAATATCCATATAAAGCTTTATTTATATAGATACATATATTGGTTCATACTTGCAAAAGCTATTTAAAAAAAATATTATTTCAGGTTGATCATGGTTAATTAAAAACAGTTTTCTCTTTCACAAATACTTAGCAAATGATTTCATGTTAAGTTACCACCTAGTTCATTCAGGCAGTAAATTAATACATATAAGATGGTTCAACTTTGTTTGACCTATTACAGCACTAAGGGAGTGTCCTCCCTGCCCTGCATGGACTTCAGAGGGAAAATCATCTTTGGCTAATGGCCACTGTACTGGATCATGTAGTAGAAGTAAGTCTCCAACTTTTACAATACAAGCAGCGCAGTTCTAAAAACATACTATATTAGGTTTGATATCATTCATATAAAAGACACTTTCATTATGCCAGAAAAGGTGGACAGAAAAAATGACTGCACACACTACATTTGTACATTTGAATAGTGCTAAATTTTACAGCTCTAGCCCACCCTATGAGTTCATATAGGGAGAAGGAGTTTTCATTTTGAAGTGCTAAAGCTTTCTACCCACGGCTTCCGATATCTTTTGTTTTAATGAATACACAGTAGAGGGCACATACCTTGTTCCCCTGATGATTAAACTTTATCCGTGTTACCCTGGAATTCCCACCAGTCCGGAAGCATGTAATCTGCTGCGCGTGACCCCACTCAAACATTTTTACACTGCCATCTTGAGCACCAGTAAGATCTAAAGCAAACAATATAAAAGCACATAATACAAATCGGATATACTTAAACCTAATCCAGGGCACAGTATTCATAAAACAAACTATGTAAATCAACACTATTTAAGACAGTCTGTCCATCTAATATTGAGACTCCACCCTATGGATAATCCAGTGTATAAGAACATATCCTAAAGTGCCAGTCCATCCAAAAGTGATGATTTAGATATTGGTAAAGCCTAATGGGTCGGGTCAGCCCCTGGTTTCTTAAATGTTTTGGTTACTCCAGTGATGAGATCTCCCTGCCATTATTCATAGCTGTTACTTTACACGTAGGAGTTTTGGGTGTCTATCATATAAAATAAAATCCAACAGGCTGGACGGTACCAGAGCAGATGTGGAGACCCAGGAACGCAGATTCACATATGTCCCAGAGAAATAAAAGAAATGATCAGATTGTTTAAAGTAACCCTGGTTATAAAAATTAATAAGTAGAACCCCCCTCACTATTACCTGTAGAAGACGATTGTAAATACCCTTTCCCAGTGCTTATGCCGATGAACACAGCTCCTATCATGAGTTCCAATACCCAAAAGCCCACTGAGGAGTTTAAAACACCTGCTAGTGTCAAATTCCAGGTCCCATGTTTTCTTATTTGACCTCCACATCACTTCTTCATCCTACAATGGCGTGGAGGTCAGGGAGAGAAACTAGTGAGAGCTGTGGGGGACATTAGAGACGGAAACTTCTGGAAATGTTGGCTTCCCAGCGGATTTTGGGGGCAAGAGAACTCGTTATTCAGTCTTCTTTTACATAGGATTAGAATACAGTAACTTCAAGCAACATATGGACATCACATAAAAATGTATAAAGGACAAACGTTAACCATTTCTCCACTCACATTGTCAGATGCAGGAAAGTACAACTGTAAGCCACTACAATTGCAGTAATTGTCATGTAATGCACCTAGGAGTTGCTAAAGTCATATGTGAAACCCAGTACAGTGTTAAAAGTTTGTTTACAGTCTCCCTCTGTATGCACACAAACACATCTTCACTAAGGCGGCGGTAACAGGGATTTTATTCGTCGTTTGTTGCAGCAGGGTCTTTAATTCTCCAGTATCTACTAAAAACTGAATTAATGTTTGGCTGAACTGATCCTTCAAAGAAGAAACTTCATCAGTTATATTTATCAGATACATGATCTTAGCAATGTCTTTTAAGTAAACCTCATGTATATTTATATATTTTAAGAAATGTATACAATGCCTGCATTATTTTATAGTACATATTTCTGATGAGCTTCATAGTCATACCTGAAAAATTGACATTCCTGAAACCGGGTGATAAGAAGAAGAGGTGGGGTGGGGTGGGGTGGTGGGCGGGGCTAATTGCACCACATTTTACTAAAAGTGCATATGTGAAAGGCAAAAGGTGTGAAAAATGACATGTGTACAGGCTCCCACCTTCCTTTCCCTCCCTGTTATTTGATTGCCAGACCACCTCCTCCACAAACATCACGCCTCTTCTGTGAATCTCTCTTCTTTCCCAGTCATTGTAAGTGTGGGCTGGCTCAGCTTGCTGGATGCCAGGGAGACGTTTCACTTCTGGATTGCAAAACGTACCAAGTATTTGTAATGACAATTAGACATTCTGGAACTGCAGCCAATCAAGCAAGGTCTAATACAGTCACATGACAGTATGGGAACTTCCCAATTGGTTGCAGTATCAAGATGTCTGACTGGTTACATGTTAAAATGAGTAAATTTTCTTAATTGTAGGGCCACAGCTATTTCAATCACTGTAGCTCCCATTCCCACTACCCCTGCAGCTCCTCTCTGTCGTTGAGATATGCCAGTTCTAGTAATGACCAGGTATTGCAGGGCCATTTCCGGCAGGTTCCAATGTATGATCATAGTAAGTGAGAGAGCACAGAGAACCTATTCTATGCTACTCTACCTAAATGGCCTCATTACATCTCTAGTTGCTATCTTTATATCAGACTAATGAAGTAGCTTCCTGAAGGTAAGAATCAGCAAATATGTAAAAATGTGAAATTACTTTTGCATAAACTTTACAATAACTCAAAATATGTACAAATACTATAATTTCCCCTCTAATATTCTTGCAAAGACACAATGAACTCACAGTAAGGCAGTGTTGGATGTGATGCCATTCTTCGAACATCTTTGATTGTTCTCTTTATCATCTGTTTGGGGGGAAAAATAGACTTTACTGTTGATGATTTCACATTAGTCTTAATGCACTAAACAAATAACTTAGAAAACTAACACAGGTACAGTAATGGTGGCTCTACGTAATTTACCAATATACAAGACTGCAAAAGGGTTTACTGCCTTAATAACGCGACCGGCCATAAGCAATACAAATTTCACACGTTTATGAATATATGTTACCCCTTTCAACAGTTATAGTCATGTTTATGTGTTAGAGATCCTTGGTTGAACATTTGCCTGTTGCAGAAAATGTAGGTTGTTGTAAAACACTGCCATATTGAAGGAAAAAAAAATTAAAAATGTATTTTCAAAGGAAAAATTAAAATTCAGAGGAGTGCAACTATGCTAATACCAAAACCCAGCAGAAAATCCCTATCCTTAATGATAAATCAACCTTTCTATAGGAATTGTGCGGTTCAGATTTCACCATGTCAAATGTCATTTTGAGAGGTCATCGTGTGTGTACAACTAAGGTATGCAATAATCAAGGATTTTTTTTATTAACGGGAATTAAAATGTATTTACAGCCTTTAAGTATTCTGTGATGAAAATTCAATGTGCAGGTTGCCACAAATTATATTCAAATTATTAGTAAGGCCTCTATTGTTTTGATACATTTCCAGGAGGGTTTCTTCTTAGGTCTACATAAAGTTGAAGTGAAATTGTCTGATTATTTTCCTTTGCTTTTCTTTTGTCTAAATGGGATTAGTGATTTTTGATGCGTTATGTAGTTGGTATTTATCTATTGTTTGTTGCAGAATACCGATATTAAAAAAAATCTAGTTAGCCCTTTAGGATAGGTGTATTTTCCCCCAGTCACCCTTCTTCCGTTAAACCGTTTAGAATATACATGACTGGTGAAGACATGCACGGTTGCTGTGCTTTTACAGACACAAGGACTTCTGGAGGGTAGTGTTGGATTTGGAAATGTGCCATTTTATAATCTTCATAAATTTCCAACATAACTTCCCTTTATAGCTTTCTATGGAAACAAGAATATTGATAAATAGGCTTGTTTTTTTTTTTTTCTCATTCCAGAAATTCCAACATGATTACTGTACATATCTGCCAAGAGTCTGTGAGGATTATGGGTACATTATTTTTCAGAAGACATTTCATTAAAGTGTAGACACAAAGAACCTCAATTTCAAATCTTCATATGAATTTAAACTGCACATTTATTTTTTAATGATGTGCAGTCATACCAACAGTGACCCTGCACTAGGAAATTACAGGAATCTTTAGAGGAACCAATATATTTTCCTGTCTGCAGTAAAAAGAGCTCAGTAGTCAAGAGGTTCACATAAACAATGCATTTATCATGCTGTACAAAAACTAGACAGTAGGAAGCAAAGCATACTATTATGTAGAAATTCAAGAAAAATTGTATTTATGGGTTTATATTGTATTGTGGTTGTCTGGTTGTCCACTTAAATCTTGAAGGTTCTGTCAGTTGAGTTTACTTAGATGTAACTATGCGCGTATTTATTTACCAAGCGAATATTATAGGCTGCCTCCGATCTTCCTGAAGAAGTTTCATTGAAACGTGTAGAAGGCTGGACCCATAACACATTTATATAAGGCTTATTCATTAATTATATTCATCATTATGTTCAGTGTACTGTCATGAGGAAATTGATGATAAATAAATGTATTGAGTCGATTGTATATAATGTATGTAATATGTGGTCCAGGGAGGTGTGATGCTGGTGGCACATTTAATAATGTTATGAAGGGAGCTGCTATTTTGATATGTTTTAGCAGGAGTAGTAGATATCATTTTATATGCATGTTTTAAATAGGATGTAGTGTCAATATACCTAAAATATGTGACTTATGTATTACTTTATGTGTGATGATATCCCTTTATCTTCTGGAGATGACACCTTAAAAGCCCCCTTGAGTATTGTGTGGTGTTGTGCCTTGTTTTGTGTAATAGGAGGATGGATACTTACCACAGATGCACCCCTTCCAGTCTGAACTCCTCCTAGCCAAGGCATGTTGATGGGGGTGCCTGGATTACTGTGGGTGTAAGGAGTGGATCCCTGCACAGCTGAGAGGTCATCACGTGTGTGTACAACCAAGAAATCATCTGGTCTGTAAAGTAGAATGAATATATACATATATATCAGACAGTCTTGTCATCAAATACCCTGTTTAGCTATGAAAGCATTATAGTATGATTCCTTGCAAAATAAAGGAGTCTAAATCAACAACACATAGAAATATTACACTACTGAATCCTCTGTCTCCGACATTGCCGCATTGCTTAAAAGCTTATGCAGCTCGTTTCAGTTCATGCTTTTTGCAGGGCTGTTTTGTTCTATAACCATAGTGTTGTGTCCAGCTCCATTGATCTTTTTTTTTACTGGCAACCCAACCGAGCACCATAATAGAGAGAAATGCCACAAAAGTATTTTAAAGTGTATTTCCACTTTTGCAGCCAAATTGGGATAACACCCATTTTATATTTGTTACATGTTCCCATTCAAGTAGAATAAGCTAAAAAATATTTTTAAAATGCTTCTTGCAGTTTAAATGGCTTTCATTTGGGTTAGTGTTTCTTGGCTTCATAAGGGTTAAAATGTCTACTTGTCTTCTCCTTCCTTGTAATGTTATACAATGCGATAGCAATCTATACAATAAACCGTTTTTGACTTTAAATTCTATTGGAGTGCGAGTGACTTTATACATACACTTATCTTGGATTGCAGAGGGATCTGCAGTCAATTTGGCACCCACCCAACTCTAAGGATATTATTCGGTCAGGAGTGTGATGGGTACACTGGATTTTGTATTCTATATTAATGATGTTAATGAGAGAAACACCATCGCTAGACTGGCCATACACTGTTCTATTTTTTTCGTTCAACCTGTGGGCTGAATGAAAAAGTAGAACAGATTCCTCCATTAACGCTTACGAGCATTGATGCACAAATCCCCCACTGTTTTCTTTGTGTTGCCGATTGGCTGCTAGCTCTGTTCGGCCAAGAATTATCCAACCTGCTTCTCTGGTCAGCTGATTGATGGATGCCAGAAAGAAGGGCGCCGACAGTGGCACCCACACTCATGAACCGAACTGTGTATATACTACATTAGTCTTTTCTATAAGGACAGGCCACTGTGAAGGTGCTCAGAAAAACCTAGATTTAGCCATGTTACCTGCTGCAAAAAAAAATCTAAAAAAGGTAAAAACTATTTTCTTTCTAATTATGTTTGTTATGCTGCGTGAATGGGTACACAAACATATAGAGGGGATTTCACCAATTTGAACCCAAAAGTGGAAATACACTTTAAGCTGGCTTCATCAAGAACCGGCTGACATTCTCTCAGTGGGTGTCACTGTCTGTTGCCTCCAGTCCTACATCCTTTGAATAAAAAATGGAAGGAGCTAGAACACTGTTGGCAGAACAGAGCTTACATCCAAACAGATGAAGGCATTTTGACAGCTGGCGGGACCGACTGTCAAAATACAATAGCAGCAGCAAGAGATTCCTCCCATCCATGCTGTCTACTCGTGTATAATAGTTTTAGTCTCTCTGCCCTTCAACTGTACCGATATGTGCAGAAAGACTCGCCTTCCTTGGTCCATCCCTCTCCCTTCATCAACATGTTAATGAAGTTACCAAATAAAACCTGCTTTTAATACATGCCTTAGTTTGGCTCTAGTGATGTCATCACTAGATCTCCGGTATGCAATGCAGGCAGATCATTGCTGATTGGGGATGGGGGCTAGACATAACTTTTTGAAAACAGCAGACTGCCCCACGTAAAGCCCACATGTAATCCTAAACCTCCATGATTGAAAGAAGTGAAATTCAATGAATGAAAGGTGCAGCCACTCTTTTCCTCCCTAGCTAGGGACAGTCAGACTGGGGAGCAAAAGAGCTAAATGTCGTCTAGCCAGGAAATAAAGTGGGCTTCATCTGAATTGCCGCAGCTTCCAATGCTTATAGTGCGCAGTGAAGTTAGAGTAAGCAATTTCAGTACAAGAGTGGAACCTGTACAAATGTGCAAGACTAAAGGGGAGGCTACAGTTCATGTTTAACAGCATACAGCAATTCAGAAGATTATTAAAATCAAAGAAATGCATACCCTTTATTTTCTGTTTCAAAGTCCTCATCAATCCAGGAGTAAACCTGGGTAGCCAGTATTGCAGACACGTCAAGCTCCTGGATATCGTGGCTAGACGCAATAGCAATGCAGTTTCTGTTGGCCTTAAAATAAAGAAAAATGCAGACATTCAAAAGTATGAAGTAAACCAATTATTCCAAGGAAATATATTAAAGTGCAGGACACAGGAGCATAGAAATATTCCTATATTCCTGCAAGAAGATGTCCCATAGACACACTCCTAAACCTTGTGGACGCCTTCACAGAAGAGTTGAAGCTGTTATAGAGGCAAAGGGTGGGCCAACTCAATATTGAAGCCTACGGACTAAGACTGGGATGCCATCAAAGTTCGTGTGTGTGTGTGTGTGTGTGTGTGTGAGATATATATAACCAAAACGGAGTATTGTAGTATGCAATGATACCTTTCTTATTGGACTAACAAAATATATAAAAGACAAGCTTTCGCATACTACAATACTCAGTTTTGTTTTTTTATACATCTCTCCTGGACTAATACGGCTTACCCATTTACACATACATACATACATATTACACACACACACAAACAACACACGCTACGATACCTTCCCCGATACCGACCGGAACAGTGCCGCAGGGGAAGATGGAGCCAGCTTACCGTGCGATCAAGAAGCTGGGTGGCGAGTAATGACCCGCATCCCGGCTTCCTGATTGCCCCGGAAGCCGACTTTCTGGCATCGTGCCACCCGAACAGCTGGCTCCTTGCTGATTTGCTGGCAGGCTGAGATTCCAGCCAATCAGCATGGAGCAGAGTAGCCGGTCATTACTCGGCACCCGGCTTCCCGATTGGCCGTGAAGCCGGCTCGATGCTGATTGGCTGGGAAATCCATATTTGAATAACTGAGCGCCCCAATTTCCAAGCTCTCAGGGTGCTCTGATACAGAGCTAGTTATGCATGCAGGCAGCTAAAGGAAAAAAACCTATAAAAACATTTAGCTGGTGGTTTATATAGTGTTGCCATTACAAGTATACTTGCCTTAAGAAATAGAAATGAGGTTGAAAATACATATCACTATATTTTGTGCAACACAAAAATACAATTGTTAAAAAGAACATATTACATAAGCTTTTGCAGAGTAGTAATATTGTCAAAAACAGAAGATACTGAACATACCTTATTTACTGCAAATGCAGTGATTATGTCAGACTCTTTGTGGATTATTCTTGCTCTTCCTCCGGAAGAACCCTGATCTGTTTCCGTCTGGAGACAAAGAATTTGATTCACCATAAGAAATATAACCTGCATAAATGTATGTGTGCTCATTGCTTGCACAAGTTTTAAAATCCAAGCCCCCACCAGATTGCAGCAGTTTAATTTGTTAATCTTTTTCAAAGTTTTAATAAAATAGGATATTCAAAGAATCATTTACAATATTGCTATTGTGATGGAGTGTGTTTAGAAAGGACTCAGATATATATACTTAATAAATATTTATTTAATTATAATCTGCGTGTCACAGATTGACACGCAGGAGGAAAGAAACACTGTTTCACCACGGCTCAAAAGGATCATTACACCAATTGATGTGATGTTTCTGAAGGTAAGGGAACGTTGGGGGCACAATGGATTTTTTGCGATGTGGACTCACTTAAATTCAAGCACTGAGGCCTGGTTCACACCGGCGCGTCCTGGGAATGCGCGTTTGCCGCGCGGCCTTATTTAAATGGGGTCATATCCATGCGGCAAAAAGGCTCCTGCACCATTGTGTGCGACACACAGTTTTTTTTTTCTACCTGGCTTGTGCGCGCTTTCCACGCGCGTAAATGCAGTGCAAAACCGCGCAACCTGTCGGCAATGTTTGGGGCTTCTACAAATACGCGATGATCTAGTAGGAAAACGTGTAAATTGCTGCATGCTCAGAACTCGGAGTTGTGAACCAGGCCTTAGATGCGTTGCAACAACAAACAACTGCATAATGCACACTAGTGTTATGAACACCATAATGCAGGTTCACTGGTGTGAATGGGCCCTACATGTGTTGGTGTGAATAAGCCCTTATTTGTTTTATTTTTTTAAATTCTTTAAAAATTTTTACTGTACTGTGAGGGGGGTCTTGGAAAATATCAGGGGCCTAAACAGATCCCTAATATTTCCCTTTTGAGATAGTGAAAGAGGCCGAGGACAAAGAGCCCTCAATCTCCTCTTCTGCGGCCTTCCACTTACTAACAGAGAAATGTTCAGTACAGAGCACTTCCCTGTTCATTCACAAACAGAAGTAATAGTAAACATGTGATGCATTGTTTACTAGCACTTCAGTTATGAATGAAGACAAGAGTGATCAGTACTGATCACTCACTGTGTTCATTCAGGAAAGGAAGGGATTGGCAAATATGACACACATATTTATTTATTACAGGTATTTATATATTTACCAACCCACTGCTCTTCTTCCTGACATCCAATGCTCTCGCTGTGTGCTGCCCCAGCTGACGCTCCATCCTCCCCTCTCTGTGAAGCCACAATGTGCCCTGATCTGTGTACTTCCCAAAACCCGCTGTCACCACTGATATGGGAGGGGGGAGAGCAGAATGCAGGCATAAAACAGAGAGGATCTGTGAAAGGCAGGGCATCATGTAGGGAGACAGAGCAGCACCAGTGACTGGAATGCCATATTTTTAATGAATGATTGTGATCAGCTGCTGACAACAGCTATTGGTTCAATAAAGTCTGGGGGACCTTTCTATCATAAGCTTATAGCAGACGGGAGAATGCAGCCATTGTTAGGCATACTGAGATGGCCAGCTGGAAGTATTTTGTTCTGCTGTATTCCTCACTTAAGTGGCAGGGAAATGGTTAAATGAACCATCAATGTAAAACAACAAACTAATGAATTTAAAACTCAGCCCATGTGTTTTTTTTTTTATTTATCAAAAAAGACCAGTTAACTTAGAAGACATCTCCCCTGATATATAGAATAAAAAGGCAGGGAAATGCCCCTTTTTACTTATACAAGAAATCCAACCATTCATTTAGCCTGCCCTCACCAGGGGCAATATTGCATTCATAATTATACCTGAAGAATAAAGCAATCTCGTATTGTTGTTATGCAGGATTTATAAAGTGCCAACAGCTTGTGCAACACTTTGCAAAATCAATACTACTTCCGTTTCAAAAAACTATTTGTAAATATAACAAACGAATAACTGATCATAACTTTCACAAACAGGATAATATTAAACCAAACCTCATTCGAAGATCTTTTCTTGGTAAAAATGTTCCTTATAAAGGTTTCTTGGATGCCCTCTTGTTTTACTAGATACTGCCAAAGCCTCTTTACTGGCAAGCTACTTGAGTGATTGGAACTAAAGAGTAAAAGGAAAAACATATGATGCATTGTACATTACATACTTATAAAATGTCAAAGTTATTACCAACACTGAACCAACATATTTAGTAGAAAACAGTTAACTAGCCAGGTGGAAAATTATTTCAAGGTGTGTACTAAAAGGCTAATAAAAATGACCTATAATCTACCAAGATGTAGAAACTACAGGGGACAGGGCTCCAGAAAAGAGCCCTATGAACCACAGTCATAGTTATAGTTATAAAGAAAGATCAGTGGTAGAAAAATAAATCTGATGTCCTTATCCTTATTTTTCATACCTCCAACTTAAGCAAAAATAAGAAGGCAACACACACACACACACACACACACACACACACACACACACACACTGCATGC